GCTGGAGCTTGCTGCTAAGGGGCAGAATGGGATGCTGAGGAAGATGCTCTCAGTGCCTCTTGCCCCTCTTACAGGGCACAGGAGGAACAAAATGCTACTTACTGCATCTCCAAGTTTTTCTTGTTTCATTTCTGGGATGTTTTTTTTTTTTCCTTCTAATTACCACTCTAGGAAGATCTCCAGATTGCAGAACTAGAAGTATGTAGTTAGCTTGGTGGGAGAGGCTTACCCAAGTGCGCAAGCAGTCTGTGCCGTGTGGTTTCACATGGATCCAGTGACCAAAATCACAGCCTGTTCTGTGGGCTGGGAGATGTGAGGGACTGCCCACTGTGAGAGTCACCAAGGATGTGATGCTTTTGATACCAGGTGGACCAGAGCCTATGCTGAGAGATGTTTTAAGGAATACCCACAGCAATGTGAAGGGTAATTTTTTCCTCTCAGCCAGTGGATATGCCATTCATCACATTGTCTTTTTTAATCTTATGGGTTTCTATTCTGCATCTGCTAGAAGAAAAAGAGCTGTGATTTGTCTGTGACTTTAAAAAATATAAAGTACTGGGCTTGTAGGTCAAGCCTTCACTGCTAGACTGAAAATGAACAGAAATCTTTAAGTCAGTGTTAGGCAGCCTTACCATCTAACTCTTGCTTTGGGCATAATTGTAAGCAGAAGAAAAAATCTTTCAGTAGTTCTGGCTCACCATATTTCTGATGGTGGTGGAAATTTTTGGTGTCAGCTGGAAGCAGTTCAAGAAAATTTTAATGGTGTGTTGAGAGGATAATTTAATCAGGGCCTCATACACTCCCTGAGCCTGACCTGGATGTAAGTGGCAGAAAATCCCTTTTCCCTCTTTTGACACTTGCATGATGACACTTGTTCCCATCTATTTGATACAAGAGCAAGGGAAAAGAGTGCAAGCAGAGGAAATTACTCTGAAATTTAGCAACTCTTTGCACCGCACTCAATGCTTGAAGTATATATACATAATATCGAAATACCAGTTCCCAAATGGTGGTGATGGTGGTTTGTGTTTTGTGGTTCTCATTTGCTCTCCCCATTCCCCGGCTCTGAGTTGGGTAAGAGGAATTTTCAGGCCTGGTGTTTGTCTGTGTTGGATATTCACTGTGTTGTCTTCTCTGTTAGAGAACACAGCCCTGAAGATGATGGAGCCGTGGGCTCCTGCACAGACCTTAAGTGTGATGTAGCAGGGGGAAACATCTGGTGTTACCTACGTTTGATACCGAAGATAAATTTTTCTAAGTTTTTACTGCATTAAGTGTATCATTTGGCAGGCAACTACAATGTGAAGCAAGATTTGCATTTCAAACAGCAAATAATAGTTTGTTTACAACTCTGTAATGGAGGGCAGCATTCCTGTTGGCCTTGTGAGCCATTGTATGAGTCCTTGTGGCTTGCCTTGTACCCAGTGAAATGCCAGCATAGGCAGGGTGGTGGGCAGCTTCACGGTGCCTACATCTGTGCAAGGCTTCCATTTTGTGCTCCTGAGATGGATATTTAGCTCTGTTCTAATATCCCCACTTCCTGAGGGATGTTGAATATGTTGACTCTCCGAGACTTCATTTGTATGGACAGCACGTGCTGCTTTTTAATGCTAATAATGTGCGAGGCTCTGTGCTAATTGTCACGTGTTGGTTTCTACAAACTTCTGAACCAAGGAACTACAGAGGCTTTGGTACGATGGGCTCTGCTTGTCATCGTTCTCATTGCTCGGATTTGGGTGTGAGGCTGAGACAGAACACAGCAGATGAGTGAAGGTCTCAGTGAGTAGCTTGCTGCTCATCTGCAGGGCAGTCCGAATGCATTCTGTTCCCTGCACCTTGGGGAGAGAAGTCTCCAAAGCATAAGGCTTACCTACAGACCGAGCCGTGGCACCTGGGCTGTGCTTGTGCTCCGCTGTGGGATCCTGGGGGATCTTAGTCACAGGGCTGGGCATGGGATGACACGGGCAGGGAGCTCCAAGAGAACAGGTCCTACCCCTTCCTCACCTCCCAGCTTCCCCGTGGCAGTGGTTCGAGGTGTGCCTGTGCACATTGAGTGCTGCCATAATTACAGGGAACGTCTTCGCTATTCATAGAGCTCTGTGGATGCGTGCGTGCAGTTTCTGCTAATTGACACTTGTTCAGATGAAAGTAATTTGATAAAAACGTTTTGGCCTGTCATCAGTGCCATTTACACCAGTAATGACAGCCACTCAGAACATTATTTTGCAAGGATTGAGTTGGTCCGGTCTTGTGCTTTGGTCATTCCTTGGTTTCTTTTGAGTCTTTTTCAGCTCCTACAGCACCCTGTTGGATTGTAGACTTGATCTGAGCACCAATTGTCGTGTTGTATGCAATGCAGTATTTCTGTTTAATACAGGTGGTAATGGGGAAAACCAGTGGGATTTGTTTTAGCCGAGTTGAGCAGCTAAAAAATGTGATGGCTTCATCATAGGGCATTGCACCATCATGTCCCCATCCATGGCCCCACGAGCCCACCAGCCCCGAGCCATGTTTGTTAATGATGTTAAGCACAGTGGGACCGAACAGGATCCAAAACCTGCAGCAGAGAGACTGCCTGGCTGGAAGAATGTAAAACATGTCACTGCAGCTTGACCGTAATTTAGGAAACCAGCTGCTTGCTGGTCTGTAATTGAATTTTTGCTGCTCTTTAGTTCCAGGTTTTGGTTTTTTCTTTTTCCTTAAGACTCATCTGTATTGTCAGTGCATTTAGAGCAATGTGCTAATCACAGTGCACGCTGCTTCTAGTTCCATTTCCCCAGAACACACCGGTTGCATCATTGCAGAAGTTGGGCACAGCTGCTACTCTCCTGCTGAAGTTTTCAATACTGCCTGCTTTTATTCTCATTCTCTGCACTGAGAGGCGCTGCCTGGAGGTGGCATTTTGGGGACGTGCTCTCCATCCAGGCCAGGAGGAGCACAGCAGTGGGGCAGGAGCAGTCCCAGCTGTGCCACATGTCCCCTGCCCACCTCCCTGCACGCGCTGCTGCGGGGCCGTGTGACTCGGAGCCATATTAGCAGGTTTATCCAAGCCTAGCCCCTCCAACTAACAGATGTAGGCAAAAGGGCATGCTGGGATTGCAGCAGTTGCTTTTGAACAACAATGTCCTTTTTGTGAGAATCTGATGCTTCTTAAAAGATGGAACATGACATCATTACCGTCGGTCCAAGAAGCATTCCTTCAATAATACTGAGTGTGCTCTGGTTATCAGCTCCCTTCCCCCCGCTCCATTCTCTCCCTTTTCTGACTGATGCTTTTTGTCTATTGTTTCTTTCGGGGCTGTAAATGTGAAACAGTTGTCTTTCAGTGTTATGTGCTTGTTAGAGCTGGAATCAAGTGGAATATTGTTGGCTTATTTGAAAGAAAGAAAAATAACAACAAAAAACTTTTCTTCCAGGCTTTATAAATGTAGCAGGCTTCAGGTAGGGGCTCACTTGGAGCTAATTATTTCTCTTCCCATGCCGTGTTCGTTACTGTGTGATGTAAGGAAGGTGTGGGCAGTGCAGCCTCAGTGCTGTGCCCCAGCCCCGCTCTGCTGGCACTCAGATGTGCTCTGTGAGCTGCTGGGGTGACTCTGCACAGCCTGCACTGACACTGTGTGTGTGTGTGTGTGTGTGTGTGTGTGTGTTTGCTCACAAGCGCAGTCTGCCAGAGCTGTGTGATCCGTGCTTGGATCTTGTGCTTGCTTCACCTCTGGGATTTCACATTGCTTTTGCCTTAGCCCCCGGGGTTGGGCTGTCATGAAAGAGTGCTTTGGGTTACACTAGAAATCTCCTTGCATCCTGACTGCTTGGACAAAATCTAGAGAAATGCTGGATTTCAGCTCCCTGCTCTGCTTTCTCTCTCCCATCCACGTCTTCAGCGGGAAAATGGGGGAATCTTGCAGGTTCACCACCATACCAAGGTATGTCTCTGCTGTCTTCTGCTCTCCTTGCAGCAGTTACTGCAACTAGCAAGGAACAGGCAGGCTGTGGAAGGTGCACATGCTGCAGCTGCATGGAGAAGAGTGGTGCACGGAGCACCAGCATTGGGAACATGGCTGTTTTCATCCTTGTTGGAACTGCTACATGCATTGATTGGTTGATGGGCTTGGGCTTGGAGAAAGGTGGAGTTTGTAATGTTCAGAAAAGATGGAAAAATGGACGGGGACTGACCTTCTGACAGATTGGTGAAATCAGATTTATTGTCTTTTTTTTTTTTCCATTATAAAGATGTAAAACCTAAAAGGTAAACTTGAGATATAAAATGTCAATCGAAAAAGTGCAAGTCTTGACCAGATGAGGGTTTTATGAAGGCACTGAGCGGCATGGTGAGCTGTTTGCTGGTGACAGAGGACTGTTTTAGTTGGACACAATTTGTTGGGTATTGAGAGGACATCCCAATACTCATGTTCTTCCCATAGGACAAACCCCTACATGTCCTGCTTGTGTTGTCTGTGTGGCTTCACCTGGTGTTAAGAAATGGGAGGATTTTGACGCAACCTGAAAGTACACTTGTATTACGGATGGATTCCAAGGCACATCTTCAGTAGTGAAAGCAAATGCAGTGTAAACAGGGAAGGTTCTGTGCATTCTTAATGGTGTATGAGCATGCAGCTCTGCTCTGCTTTGGAAAGTCCATCCAGTGGTTGGAGATGTGACGTGTGGCTGTTCAGAGAGAGGCACTCGGAGTAATGGGGCTCACTGGTGACAAGCTGCTATCAGTGTGGGGCAGAGCCACGCTGCTGACCTCTCTGCAGGTGGTGGAGCAGATGCTGGGGGAAGAAATGTGTTTCGTTCTGTGCTTTGGTTTGGAATTGTGCTCTGTTGAAATGCTCGACTGCTGTCTCAGTGAGACTTTGCCATCCCAGTGGATGGGTTGCACTGCTTCATGTCATGGGCCTGCGTGCTTGGGAAGAAGTGAAAGCTGCTCTTCTGCTGCTTTGTTTGTGGGTCTTTGAGCAGAGGATAATCAGTGAAGGATTGCAATCTTTTTCTTGCAGTAATCCATGCTGAAGAGGCTCCATTCATACAGATGAACCAAGGGTTGAGGCAGCACTTTATACCCAGATAGTCGGTCGGCTCACTGCCCAGCAGGATGCCATCAACCAGCAGAGCGGGCAGCCTGAAGGACCCCGAAATTGCAGAGCTCTTCTTCAAAGAAGATCCAGAAAAGCTCTTCACAGATCTCCGAGAGATTGGCCATGGAAGCTTTGGAGCAGTTTATTTTGTAAGTAGCCTCGTGCCTCGTGGATTTTAGCTGTGGCTACTGTGAATGTTTGTGTGATGTTTGGAGCAGAGGTGTTTTCCTGTATGTCTGTGCAGTTTCAGGTTGTATGCAGACTGACGGTGTCTGTAAGGTGTTTGCATACAAGCTGAAAGGAAGAGCTGGAGATGTGGCCCTTGCCCAGTGCTTTCAGGTTACATTGCAAGTAGGGATTTTTCTGCAGATTAAAACATGTATTTTGGCTCCATCGATTCTGATTGACAACGCAGTTCTGTGGGTCTGATTGTCTCCTTATCATCTCTTCTCCCTTGAGAGGAGCTCTCTCTCCCTTCGTGCGTACCCCACAGGCTGCCTTACAGCCATTCTTTGTGTTTGGCACCTGGAAGTTGGGGCTTTTGTTATCATTTGGCCTGACACATCCTTCCCCGCTGCAGGCAAGAATCCCATTCTTCAGCTGTATAAAACTTATTGACAGGAGTGTGTGGACAGCAGCTTCTCCCAGGCTGCTCGTGTAGCTCAGATACTGCAGGGCAGCTTTGTCTGCAGGTTGCTCTGTGTTAACCAAAGTGTGTACTGTAAGACCTTCATTAAAAAACCATTTTCCTCAAAAAAAACCTTTTCACATTTATAATTATAGGAGGTGTGGCCAAACCTGCCAATTTTCCTTCAGAAAGCCATTTGTGTCAGGATTTTATGAGATGCCTATTCATTGTTAATAATTGCAGCAGACCATGTTGGGAACCTTCCAGCGCAAATTTAATGCAGCACAGATGAACTAATTAGGAAAAGCTTCTTAATTTTGTTCCTTGCTTAAAACTATGAGCTGTTGCTGTCTGGGAGCAGATCTGGAGGAGGAGGTGCTTTCTGATGAAGCAGCACTTACCTGTGGCCATGCTTCCTACCCCTGCTCACATGGCTTGAAGCGTGGACATAAGAAGAGAGAACAGAAAATGTGTCTTCCTATAAGTAGAAGTATTTCTGAAGTTTGTCAGGAATACTGTATGTTATAAAGGAATGTGTGAGCCACACGTGTGCAACCAGATAACCTGCAAGCTGATGGCGTTCCCAAACATCAGCAGCATGCTGCCATTGTGGCATCTGCAGCACTCTGTGGCAGTGGTTGGGGTGGATGTGATTGCCCGTTACTGCAAGGAGGCAGGAAGGAAGAGGTCATTAATATGTAGACCCATCTTTCTCTTTTTTAACCACCATTTTAGGCTAACAATTCATTATGGCACAGAGTAAAGCTTTGGCCTGCATTTTTTGTGTTGTGTGTATATGTATATATAGTCGATCTAAGAACCTTCTAAGATATTGAATCTAAAACTGTTTCATGTTCTGACGTTTAGTATCTCAAGCAGAAAGCCAAAATATGATGTTGATGGCTGCACTAGGTGACTTAGTGGGCAGCTGGAGGGGAGAAATTTAGTTAAGGTGAAATATGCATCAAGAACTGGTGTAGGAAAGTGTATGTTTTGGGTCTTTTGTTCTTCTGTAAATGTAGAGAGAAAACAAATTTCTTTAGCAAGATTTTGATTCTGCTAATATACATTACTAAACATTCTCTGATCAATGTGATATTGGATTATAGTTAATAACAGCTTAAAAGCATCTGACCAAAGGTGGTGCAGTTACACAAGGCATCCAATCCACTCTTCTTTCTTCCTGGTTTCTGTCATGAGATGTCCTGTAATGGCCAAAAAGTTTCTCACCCCTCGTTAGTTGATATGAATGTTGCTGCTTTACCTCGTGGTTTAGTTTCTTAGAAACTGCAAGTCTGGCATCTCTGAATCATTTTGTTTTATCCTTACCCTGCTCCATGTTCAGCAATGTAATAATAGCTTTCCTTTGACACAGGAAACCTACTGCACTGGAATGCTGCAGATGGAGCTGAAGAATAACCCACTCCCTTTTGTCAGCACTGCTCCTTCTGCTCTGCTCTACTATTTTGCTCCTTGCTTTATTGCAGCTCCTCACTGACTTGCATGTTCCAGAGATTGCTTCTTATTAGAGGCAAAGATCTAGGAGATACATATATGTATGTCTCAAAAATAAAACAAACAAACAAAAAAAAAAACAAAAACAAAAACCCAGACCCCTGCTTAAGAAAAAGCACCAAAGCTGACAGAAATGAACACTTAAAGGTATTGTAATATCAGCGAGACAGCAGGGACTGTCCTCTTAAACAGAAGGGAAAGTAGAGAAGTGATGGTTCCAGCTTGTATCTGGTTGAAAGAAGGGCTGGCAGGGAACTCTGGGAATCTCTTTAATGAATGGCAGAATTAAAATAGGACTAAAAACCACTTTTACAAAAGGCAAAGTGCTGACATTTCATTAATCCCTGTTGTGATAGGCTCTGATAGTACAAATACATTAAAAAATCAGCTTTTCCATCAGTCATCAGTGACTGCAGGCATGCACATTATTTTGATTTGTATTGTTTGGCTTCATATCCCAATTAACTACGCTGCTCTGAGAGACCCCCCCAGCCCTGTGCCACTGATGTCCTTAGCAGAGGCAGGTGGGGCCTTGTTTGGCCCTCTTCCCCGCTGGGTGCAGGCTCACTGTAAGGTGCACGGGCCACTGCTATGTGCCAATTGAAACAGAACTTGTCTTATCTTGAAATGTTACTGCCAGAAATCAGGACGTCTGCCTTTGAAGTGTGAAAAACCACGCAGGCTTATTTCGCAATGTAAACAACAACATGATTGGGCTGAGCAAATGAAAGTCTGAGCTAGCACCTGGGGTTGCTGCATGCTGCCATCCCTGTATGATCTCTCTTCCCTTAAGACAGATAGCTGATTTGGGGGAGCACTGGGAAGAAAGAAGCTGCTGCTGGAGCAGGGATCTCCTGCACGTCCTGTGACATCTCTGCTTACATTTGGGATGGAGTAAGGGGGCTGGGCCTTGCTTCTGTTTTGTCTGGAGCGTACCAAGGATAGGAGAGATGTTGATCTAGAGAAAATCCGTTCTGCTTGAATCAGAGCTGCTGTTGTAAGCTGTGATTTGTAGTTCAGGGATGATGGTATTCAGCTCCTGGGACGCTGAGCACAGAGAGCTGTGGCACCTTATCTCAGATTTCAGATAGGTACAGCAGTCACACCCCTTGGAAGATGCTTCAGTTCTCACCTTCTGCAGCAGCTAACTAATGGAGAAAGGTTTCTCAGTGCTTCTTCCAGAGTTCAGCCCTTGTGTGTGAGTGTGTTTGCTTTGCATCTTATGGGAAGTGGTGACCTGAAGGAACTGATGCATCACCTTTTCGCGTTGCAGGCACGTGATGTGCGCACCAACGAGGTGGTGGCCATCAAGAAGATGTCATACAGTGGGAAGCAGTCCAATGAGGTATGGAGAATATCTTAATATACATATTAAGTCTTGACTGCTGCAATGTTTATTCTGTGGGATGGCTGCAATTAGCCTGGGCTGTGATGAGGGAGATCTCTCCTGTAACTGAAGGTGAATGAGGATACAGTGTGAACAGATTTGTTTATTGTTCTCAGTGTTTATCTGTCTTATCTTCACCTGGAAAAGATCAGCAGGATTTTTCAGATGCAAAGGGCAATTTGTGGGGCCACATAAATGTGAAGAAATAATAATTTTTAAAAAGGCCTGAATTATATATATAAAAATAGAAAATAGCATGTATGTATTCAGGCTTTTTTTTTTTAACCCTTAAACATTCAATTCTAAATTCCTTTAGAAGGAACCATTTTGCTTATTGGACAGAGGCTTACTAGGAATAGTAGTGGTGGATGCAGTAGTGAAAGATTCAGGGAGAATCTTGCCTTACACTGAATAATGTGACTGAGTGCATCCTACCCTGAAAGCAGCAGCTAAAACAAAAGCAGTGAATGAGCAGCAGCACAATTAGAGAAAACTGTCAGGGCTGGGGATTAAAGTTGTCTTTGCAGAGTGATCTGGAAAAGTAGGCCTCTGAGGTTTCAATGTTCAGTGTTTTCTTGGCCACCCCAGATGTGTCTTTTCTCTTAAGATGCTTAGCAGAGATAATTGATTTTATGCTTGAAATGTTAAAGTGCCAATAAAGATTCTTGAAAGGCTTGACAGGACACAAACAGGTGATTTGGTATTATTTTGGTAATGACATCTATCAAATCATGGCATGATTTTTTTCAGCAGATGTATTTACTGTAAACATTTTGTTCGAGGCATCGGTGGTTTCCTCCCTCCATTCTCTACATCCCAGTCTTAGAGGCAGCCTCACTCTGATGAGTTTCACTCACAGCAAAAACTGCCTTTTGTGTATTGATCATCTGCACTGCCAGGCACTGAAGCATTGCTTCCTTGCTGTTCCTGTGTGTGTGTAGGAGGTAAAGGTGGCAATGTCTCTCCAGCAATTCCAACTTCATAGTTAAATTTGCTGTGCGTGCTTCTATTTTGTCACTGCAGTGACTTGTTTAACTGTGTACTGATGAAAGAATAATTTGTACTTACTACTTGTCCTGCTGTTTTAATTACTGTGAGCTATAAATACTCTGTTCACATGAATGAAACAAACTGTGCATGCTTCAGAAATAACTTCTGTTTGTCTTCGGTGCATATGTTTCTTTATTTTGAAGAAAGTAACAAGACAAGGATTAAAATGCTTTACATTTACTTACTTTGTTTTCTTTGGAAGTTTGCTGGAGTTATGCTGTCGCCTATGTAAAAGGAACTAAGGGCATTCTGATGTCATTTACAATTACGTTGTTTTCATAATAAGATTTTATGATTGGTGGGGTAAATCACTCTTTAAAATAAGAACATATGCTATTTTAAAAATAAGTTTTAAACTTATTTAAACTCATAGTGTGATCCCAGAGCTTTTTTTACTCAGGAGATCATGAGTAGGTCTTTACTAATACATTGCCTCTCATCCCAGTATAGGAGAAGCCTAGGGAGGTGCTTTCTTGATTTGGCTTCCATTGCTCAGTACCTCAGAGGCAACAGCATCATTCTTGTGCAGTGTCAGTGAGAAAGGCTGTAGCAGTACAGCAGCACAGACATTGTTCTCGTGAAACTTCTGGTGCTGAGAGACGCTTAGCCACTGAGTTGCCTCAAGTATGGCAGCCATGCTCCTGCTTTCATTTGTGCCTCCTTTTTATTGAGGACGATTTGGGATTTGTACGTTTTCCAAAGCCATTGCATGCATGGATCCTCCATCCATCAGCGACTCCCACCCACACAACTGAGGAGCATTGCTGGGCCTATGAGCCTCTCAGGGGTGGAGCCTTCTGTGTTTGATAGCTCTGCCTCTGATTAACTTCAGAACTGATACTCTTTCCTGAAAACATTTCCAGTGTCAACACCATCATGTTGACATCTCCGTACTTGAATGGTTTCAGCTACTGCATGTGTTACTGAGCATCTTTCCCAGTAGTTCTAGTTCTGCCATTGCACTTCCCAGCTGTTGCCTTTCTTACCTGAGGTTGGATGGAGTGCAGTGAGCTGAGGCACTTGCTGATTTTCTCCAGGGGAGCAGTGAAAGTGTTTAGGCACACATTAGAAGTTGACCTTTTGGCCTCTTTTGTGTTTTACAATTGCACTGTCAGCATTCCTCTTATCATAAATCTGGATTCCCTTGCCTAGTAGGAGCCTCATGTTAAGTTGTTCCCTGTAACTAGTAATAGAGAAGTGTTATCAAGAACATTGATTTTTAGCTGCCAAATCTTCTAGCATGCCATCTTCTAGCATGATGTAGTTACCAGTAGGGATAGGTCTTAATATCTGTGAGACTTAAGGAAGAGATGGTTGACATTGCTTAAGGGCACTCATTCACATCACTTTCAGATTGAGGTCTATGTTTCATTGGACAGCAGAAATGGTATCCCTTAAGAGAACTGCTTGAGTTCTTCCTCAGATCCAAAGTGTTTTCCAGTGTATCATTTTCCAGTGTATCGTGACATATTAACTGAAAAAAAATCAGCCAACAGATTAATGAAGTCTTTCTGTCCCTTTTTCCTACAGAAATGGCAGGATATTATTAAGGAAGTCAAGTTCCTCCAAAGAATAAAACACCCTAACAGTATAGAATACAAAGGCTGCTATTTGCGGGAGCATACGGCATGGGTAAGCATTGCTGCACTCTGTGCTTCTCTGGCCTTGGCTAAGGGTGCTTTAAGCTGTCTCCAGCTGACTCCCAGCAGGGACCTGAACACTTACGTTGCACAGACTCAGATAAGTACAGGCAAAGATATTACAGATGCTCAACAAAATTAAACATAGTTTTTAAAAAACATGTTTTAGGGAAGATTTTCCTTTGACTTGCAGAGTAAGGTGGTTGTGCTGTTACTCTGAAGTGCCTCATTCAATGGGTTGAGTATCTAAAATAAAGAGGAACTGGAAGAAATAAAAAATCTTCACCACTTTTCTTACTTTAAAGAAAAGTGAAGATCTAATTGTACTGCCCAGGAGGTGAGCCTGGCACCTTTATTAGATACTTACAGGTGACTAAACAAAGCACTTGGTATGCCACTGAATGTTAACAGCTCAGTACTTTGCAGCTTGACTTAATGTGCTCTGGAAGTAAGTGTTCAGTTGTATTTTAATGGAATAGAATCCCTACTGGTAATTGTAAATGAGGTATGTTTTGAATTGTTAATATTTCTACTAGTTAACTGAATTCTTCTGTTGTGTATTGTTTATTTCTGATGCTTTGTTGTTGGTAGTGGCATATGTTTAAATGACAAAACCAACAAGCTGGTTTTATCTCTGGCTGTCATCTCCTAACCAATCTCAGACATTTGATTTAAACAAACAAAAATCCAAATTCCCAAACTAAACTTAGTTTGTATGAGACTGCATAAAAATGTGTGCGTAGGAATAGCTGCATTTGGTTATGCAGGGGAAGCACCTTGTCAAACTCATGTGATTTAGCACCTTTCATTGACAAAGTCTTTTTAGCATTATATGCTAAATAAATCAAATAGTTGAAGCAATAATTGAAGGTATAAGTGGTGTTCCCATATCACCTTCAGTAAATTGGTAGGACAAAGTTTTTTAGTTTCTTTCTTTTTTTGCTTCAGATCTGACAGGAACAAAATTGTAAGTAAATCCCTAAGTAGCCCTTAATACTCTGATGAGCTTAAGTGCAATTTAACATTCACATTGGGTGCGTGAATGTAAAATAAGGTATGTAATACAATACATAACTGGCTGTGAAAATGCTCTTGCCTTCATTAGAAGTGTTGGTGCTTGGTGTCTTACACAAGAAGGCTGTGCTAATTCCAGCTAGATCTGCCCTTGTGCAAGGGGTCAGTGCTCAGATGGGCTTATGTTATAAGTAATACTTGCATTGTTATAGCTGAGCACTGTTGATTTCCAGCTAAGTTTAGCATACAGTCTGCTAGGATTTTTGCTGGTCACTCTAAATGCCATTTCATTATTGTTTATTATAGGTTTGTTTTTCAGGAACAGTAATTTGGTACTTCTGGTGGATACAATATATTCTTGAATATTTTTCTTCCTCCTTTTTTTCTTATGTGAAAGCTGTTTATCTAAACACATGGAGTTTCTTAAAGGGCATTCTGTTTTCATAAGATGTCAGGTTGAGATTGAAGTCCTGTGCCTCCTCCTCTTCCTCCTTGCTGGATACAGGGCACACTGGCACTGCAGGCTGCATTGTATGCACCAGTAATAATTTCCATCTCCATTAGAGATTTTCTAACAACTATTTTGATTTCTTTCCATACAGCTTGTTATGGAATATTGTTTAGGATCAGCATCAGACTTACTAGAAGGTATGTCACACGTGCTTGTTTGATTGAAAACCAGCTCTTTTGTTAAATGGTCACTTTTCTATCAAGCTTCTTGAAGTGAAGCTTTGGAGAAATACGGGTGTCCAGTAGGTTGTTCATCTCCTTGCCTTACTAGCAACAGTTCAGGACCAAAAGCTGAGCTGTCTGGGAGTCACCTTTGTTGCTCCAGTTTAGTTATTCATGTGTGAATTGCCATAAGCTAGATCTCAAGTCCTGGAATTTTCATTGATGGAAAACTGGATGTTGAATTCCAAATTGATATTTGGGAGAGTAGCCACAGAACAGACAGGCATGTGGCAGTTCTAAGACAGTCTCTTGTTGGAATATAGCTGCTGTTTTAGATACATCTGATAATAGAATATGTTTTATGCTGGAAACTACTTTTAAACTGAACATTTGTTTCTCTATCTGGACCCAGTAAAATTAAGTTTTAGTACTTTGTCTGTGTTTTCATTATTAACGGTACTCACTTGCATGCTTCAATCTACGTTGTTTTCTTTAATATTGAATTTCACATAAATTCTTTCCTGAAGTTCATAAAAAGCCATTGCAAGAAGTGGAAATAGCAGCAATTACCCATGGTGCTCTCCAGGGATTAGCATACTTGCATTCTCACAATATGATCCATAGGTAAGTGGTTAAACTTTTGCTGTCTCGTAGACTTGTGGATAATTTACCTCAATGATTGTATTCTAGTCATCCCAAACTTAATGTTTGTAAGCAGAGATTTTCTTTGTGCAGTGATTGTGTATGAAGCTTATCTAGGTGTGCCATTACATGTAGCTGAAATTTTAAGTTGATTTTTGAGACAAGCTAGGTTCAAAGATCCAGAGTGATGTTAAGCTATTAGCCCAAAGATTAAAGGTTTTGTCTTCAGAAGAAATGTGGGTGTTTTTCAGATCGAACATGTGAATTCTTGTTGTGTTTTGTGATCTCTCCTATGGAAGATTTTCTGTTTTGGAGAGGAATAATACTGACATTTGTATTTTCTCTAACCAGAGATATCAAGGCAGGAAACATCCTGCTGACAGAGCCAGGACAGGTGAAACTTGCTGACTTTGGATCTGCTTCCATAGCATCTCCTGCCAACTCATTTGTGGGGACGCCATATTGGTAAGCCAAGTGTTATAAGCAGTTCTGGAGCTGTGAAGTGCAAGAATCATTTACTGGCTATTTAGTATATTTGGGCTTTATTGCAGCTAGATTTGTGATTCCCTAACTGTGGTAGTGATAGAATGTATTCTGCAAAAGAGATTAGATGGTAATTAGGTTCCGACTTCGAGAAATTGTGATTCCTTGTGCTTGTAGTGCACAAAAAGTAATAAAAATATTTTGTTGTTCTCCTTACCACGACTTTAAGTGGTGGGGGTGGGATTTAATCATCTGTAATGTATTTTAATCATTCCCCCCGTGGCTTTAACAATTCATGTGTTCTTAGCGCATCTGGCTGTTGGAATAACTGAAGTGTTTTTTCTTTCATAGGAAAGGCCAGATTCATTGAACAAAACCCTTTGCAGATCCCTTGTATGCTTTGATCTCTTACACCAAATCTGTGGTGTTTACACAACTGCGTGCTATAATTATTTCACCAGAGTTGGCCAGCCAGCTAAAGTGTTGAAAATGTGGGAGGGCAAGATGGTGGTGATGCTTGTAAATGGAGAGCTGGGCAAAACACACCATGCAGCCTCCCTAGAGGCTTGCACTAGCGTGAGTGCCCAGCTGAGTGGCATCCTAAGCTCTATCCACATACCAGCTGGTCCTTGTTCCCAGTGTGCCATGTTCGTGCCTGATATCTTGGGGAATGATTTGGTGTTGGTGGTTGAAATCAGTGAAACATCCTGTTTCACTGAAATGCTGCTGATGATAATGTGCTCTATTGCACAGAATTTTATGAGTACTGATTTCCTATTTTAGGATGGCCCCAGAAGTGATTTTAGCCATGGATGAAGGGCAGTATGACGGCAAAGTAGATGTTTGGTCTCTTGGAATTACCTGTATTGAGTTAGGTAAGTTATTTTCTTTGAGGAAAAAAAAAAAAAAAAGAACAATAAAATGTAGTTATTAAATACCTTGAACTTACTCTGTTGAATTACAGTGCAGAGGACTTATGCTTGCTTCCTTGTCTGGAACTGGGGGGAATCTGGGGCTTGAATTCTAGAGAAGAGAACCAAATATGCTTTACAGAATTCAAGACCAAGTCTCCAATTTGATATGAATTGGGGCAGTGTTTCCATTATCCAAAGAAAAAGAGTTAGATGAAGAAAATAGCTGAACTGTATCATGAAGGTGTTCATGTTCTGTGGGGAAGGCTGATCAGTTTTGAACTGAAAAACAGTCTGCTTGCTGAACAGGTTTAGAAATGGACCATTGAACGTATCAATGTGAAAACAGTTAGTGGTGTAAATTGATGTTTTTTCCATGAAATGTTAGGATGTGTTAATGAGACCTGCAATAATAGGAAATTTGGGTTAAGTGAACAGTTTCAAAGCTATATGCAATGCATTTTGTCACTCGTGAATAGATTTGGCTAGGAAATACCTTTTACTTAAAGTGGAACACCAATGTAAGAGGACTGTGTTAGTATGGCATTCTATTTAAATTTAATGCAGGATATTATCTCGGGACAAAAATACACTGAGTGAAGCACAGCACACAGTGCTTCTCAGCCTGTAGGATCTGCTCCCTGGAAGCACTTAGCTGGGAGCTGTTGGGATGTGGGGCTGACTCCTGCTCTGCTCCCAGGGGCTGTCCTCACAGCCCTGTCACATTGCATTGCTCATACTCCAAAGACCTCAACGGAGGAGCAGCCTGGCTGGGCAGCAGGAGCTCTCAGGAGCACACTAATCCATGCGAACTGCACAGTTTAGCTCAAAATGCTGCCTGACATTCCCAACTGTCAACTTCATTTTTTTCCAAGACATGAAATAAGGTTCTTTCTTCAGAACAGAGATTTTGTTGTTGTTGTTGTTGTTGCCAATATAAAGCAAGTTCAAGGGGTGTGACTGTCATGACAGAACGCTGCTCCTAGTGGACCGAGCAGATTTGGCTGGATGCAGTGCTCTAGGAATGCACTGAGCTCATGGCCACCACACCCCCGGGTGCCGTACTGCACGCTGCATTCCTGCAGGATGAAGCGTTGGGCTCTGTGTATGGCTCCTGGCTCGTGGAGGTGAGGCTGGGTCAGGGTGATAGGGAGTCACAGGCTGGCTCGGTGTCAGTGTCTCAGTTGTGCCGCTTTGAAATGAGCGTGGAAAGGAGGCAGGCAAATGAGACATCTGATAATTTTCTCAAGCTGTTGCTTAGTTTTTGAAATAGCCCTCACTGAAGGCTCAGTTTCACTGTTTCTTGAAGATTCATTTTAAGAGGAAAAAAGATAGAACAGTCAAAGTAGTTAAATGGATAATGAGTTTGATCCTGAGTAGAGGCAAGTGGTTATCTAACAGCTTGGGGAAGGGCTGCCACATCTGAGCCCTAACTCTTCAATTTACTGTTTATCAGGAATCTGTAGTGCCTGGTTTGTTCTCTGACAGCAATGAGTTAACCAGGATCTCTGGTACATGGGTTACTGCTACTATTTGGCTCAAAAAGCAGAATAATAATAATAAAAGATATCCTCCCCCCCCCTTTTTTTTCTTTTTTTTTCTTTTTCAGGAAGGAAAGCTTTCTGTTGCATTTTCACTGGTGCAGGAATGTCCTCGTGGCCTGAGCAGCTTCTCTGGAATGTTTATAGTGAGGCTGAGCTTTATAGGTCTACCCTATAAACATTCTGATGAAGCTTCAATTTTGTTGTTACAGTGAGATCATCTCCTTCCTCATTAAGCTTTCATGCTGTGTCAGTCTATAAGAGTAACACAAGCTTGAAAGAGAGAAGAGCCAAAGAGAATGCAACTCTCAAAATAGTATAAGAGTTAGCCTGCTACTGACTTCCTGCCCGGTGCTTAGTCAGTTCAGTGTGATCTGATGGCTGTTGCAACCAGATTTTCTTCATCACTTGTGCTGTGATGTCCCGATAGAGTAAAAAATTTGCTAGCTTTTTTAGCAGCTGTAGCGTTTTGGTTTTTAGATAACAGCAATAATAATAATCAACCAGAGTGGGTGACACCAAACCAAGAATGTTAATGGCTGAACGCTGAGTATAGATCTCACTGTTAACTTGCTCCTATTTTAGAACATTAAAATGAGTCAGAGAACTCAACTATGATAAATCACGTAATTTAGAAACTTGAGAGGACAAGGCATCTGATCTTCAAAGCGCTTTCATCTTCTGCAGCAGAGACCAGTGGCACAGGACACATGCCAACATATCTGTCTGATTGCAGGGTTGGGCTGGTGTTCAGCAGCAGCGATTCTGCCGATGTGGTTTTCTTGTTAAAGGGATGTAAACTAAGAAATGTAAAGGAGCAAAAAAACGCGAGGCTGTCTCCCGACATAAAAGTCATTTTCTTTTTTGTACAGCGGAAAGGAAGCCTCCTTTGTTTAACATGAACGCAATGAGTGCCTTATATCACATAGCGCAGAATGAATCCCCTACACTACAGTCTAATGAATGGTGAGTATTACTGAGGGAGGAATGTTGTAGGGAAGTGCTGTAAATGGAGTGCTTTGTCATGCTGAGTTCCTGAAATGGCTGGATTCCTATGGGGAAGATGTGAGCCGGAAGGTTCTGATTAGCTTCACTGTATACCCTACGTATGAAATTGACCAATTACTAAATATGCATTTTAGACTGTAGAATGCAGTAGAAACAGGATGAGCTGCTGGAAGAACGTAGGATCCTGTAATAAATTCAGTTCGTGGGCCAGTAAACTTCTGCAGCTCAAAGGCTGGCCAAAAATGTGGTTTTCTGTGTTTTGTTTTTGCTTTTTTTTTTTCTTTAAATCGCAGACCACACTGTCAGTTCCTAAATCTTGTTCTGTTGAAGTTTTGCTCTGTAAGATGAAGATACTGCTTGTATGTGGCAGATGTCTGCTGCACAAACATCAGAAGAATGAAATCACAGTAGCAACGTTTTGTGCCTCCCAGCCTCAGCAACACAGTTTTGAATCAGCAAACAGAGTAAACTTATCTGAAGGGTTAAAAACTTCCTAATTATGTTTTTCTGAGCTGTGGTCCCATGCCTCTAACATAATACATTGTGCCATATTTTTTAGAATTCTTTTTCTACTTCAGAGATTTTCTGGTGAGGCTATTTCACACCCTGGTGCTTGACAAAACATTCAGCTCATTTTATGCATTTTTTTTTTCAGATAAAAAAACAAAAAAAAACCCAGGAATTTAATTTACTGACAAATGGAGGTAGCAAAAGCCCATGATGGAGAATTGGGTGGGAGGGGGAAAGAAAGAAAATCTATCTGTGGCTGTGATAGGCCTTGAAGAGTTGGTGCAGGATGGAATTTGACAGGGGTGCTGCTCACACGGAAATAAGTGGGTGTCTGTTTGTGTGCAGCACTTCCGCAGCTCTCGAGTTGTCCCATGTTTTTACATTCTTAAGCCAAAGCATTCTGTGGCAGCTGAGGTTCCAGGAATGTCCCACTGGTAGCTGTGGGTGCTGTCGGGGTGTTGTATGGGGCAGTGGGTCTGTGTGATTCCTCCTCACCCCTCCTAACAGCACCCAGACACGAATGTCTCAGAGCTGGGCAGTTCACTCAGCTGGATGTTTTCTCCTTTCCACAGGTCTGACTATTTCCGAAACTTTGTAGATTCTTGCCTCCAGAAGATTCCTCAAGACAGGCCTACATCAGAGGAGCTTCTCAAGGTGGGCTTTGTTTTCCAAGTGATACTAGCAAGGTGACATTCTTCTGTCCCATCTGCAGTAGTAGGTTCCATTTACCAATGCTCTGCCAGCTATCCCTGCTCCCTTTGAGCTGAGGGGCGTTGCAGCTTTCCTGTCCCTTTGCAGCATCTGGTGCAGTTCCCCAGGTGATTCTCCATGCCAGTTCTGTTCTCAGCATAAAAGAACACTCCAACAAGTGGCACTGGATGACCATCAGTTTGTCAGGGATGTTAGTTTCTTAAGCTCAGTCTATCCTTCCAGTGATTATAATTAATCCTGACAGAGCTGCCATACATAAGTTAACAAATACCTTTCCTTACTTCCCTCTTTATTCTATGCTATATATACCTCTCAAGGCTTTTTATCCTCTCCCATCACCTGTGTGCTTTACACGTAGAAATCTGCTGTTCTGATGGTTATCCCTGGGGCAAGAAGGTGTAAGAAAGGCTTTCTTCCTCATATTTTCCTTTGACATCTGCAGATTTTCTTCTGCTTTATTTCTTTGCTTTTTTTTTCCCTTCATTTTTCCTTCTGTATGTTGCAGTTACTTCATTTTCATGGCTTTTGTCTAGAAACAGTCCACGTGATGGATAGTTGCAAAAAGCTGAGGTGTTCACTAAGTGAATGCAGCTCACTCAGAACTTTGGTGTTCCAGCTGCTTTCTTCTAAGTGTGACTTTGATGGATTTCCTGAAGTGGCATCAGGTGGCATCCTGAATTTTGCTAACTTGTTCTCCTCACAGTGCTCATGGTGTTATTTTGGGTTTTTTGACTCCAGCCATGTTTCTGTTAAACAGCCACATTTCCAAAATTTTGCATTGCCTGAAAATGGATGCTATTTTTGAAGGTTTTATCGTCACCTTTTTGCATGTTTTCTACTTAAATGGTTCTGAGAACTTTTGCCTCTTTAAAAATGGTGAATTATGAAAGAAAAGTGCAATTACCCAGGAAAGGTTTGGTGTAGGAGTATAGTCCTGCCATTTCAGAGTTCTGCAGATTGGTTTTATTTTGAGCAGCGCACTGCAATTAAAGTGAACATTGATGGAAATTAAACGTTTGTGATTGTATTCCTTCCACATCTATAGCCTGAAACAGCTGCGTGCCACTTTAGAGGGACAGGTAGGAAATGTGACACGTTGGAAGTGGCGATACAGTCCTCCAAAGGAACAAAATGAATCTAGTGGTGGTGTTAATAATGACTCGTGCTTGCACAGCACTTTTCATCTGGAGGCTGGAAAAGCTGCATCTGACATGCATAGGGGAGAATTCTTTTTCCTGTTGGCAAAATGTAGCTACCTTTGCAGTAAAATGCAGCGAAGTGCATGTAGATTTGCAGCCTATTTTATGACTCACGGCTGCGTGCTGAATATTTGATTATCTAGCTTTGCTAAACAAGGAATGGGGTTTTATGCTGAGAGCTGGCTGATACGTTATTGACCATGTGGTTAAAGATATTAACCATCTCAGACTTTAAGTGTTTTTACATTATTTGCTGCTCATCCTCCTCAGAGGAAAATGTAATTGGAGATAATGTCTTGAAATACACCAATACCTGAAGAAGTCCAATTTTAAACAGAGCTTGTTTTCACAGTGTGTGATATGCTTATTTTGTTTGCTTGCTGTTTGTTTTTGTCACGTTGCTTTTTTTTCTTGGTGGTTGTCTCCCATCAGAAAACAGTCATTCTGAAATCTGACTGGACCATGAAGTCTAAATATAGTGCCATTTAGTTGTGAGGGTATTCTCCTCCTGTGCAGGAAAGAGGACTAACAAACCCAACTGGAGCTCATAATGGTTGTACCCTTTAAGCACTGGGAGGTCACTCACCTATTTGTGTGTTCTGCAGCACATGTTTGTTCTTCGGGAGCGGCCTGAAACAGTGTTAATAGACTTGATTCAGAGAACAAAGGATGCAGTGAGAGAACTGGACAACCTGCAGTACCGTAAAATGAAGAAGCTCCTCTTCCAGGAGGCACATAATGGCCCTGCAGTTGAAACACAGGAGGAGGAAGAGGTGAGAGAGAAATTTGAATGTCATCGCTGCACCAAGGGAAGATGATGTCATGTAAATAACCGTAACTCAGATATTGCTGAAATGAATGGAGGCTGTTTACACACCTGGCTATAAACTCTGCCTTCCTGTCTGTGCTTGGAGTGAAGCCTACCTCAGGGCACACACAAGGACGAGCAGAAGATGCCCAGTACTGGCAAGATGCTGTGCTGTTTGCCCATGCACGATCAGCTAACTTCCAGTTGTGCAAATTTTCCCTTGTTTTGACTGTGTGCACAAGGCTTTTGGTAATCTTTTGTGTACACCTAGAGAACGTTCTTCTGACCCTTAAGACAGAGAAATTTGTACTTGCTTTAAAAAAAACAAACATGCACAGAAATTCATTTTTTGTCTTTCTTTGGGTGACATGGTGCAGTCACCACGTGCAGACTGTAAATTACAGAGTCCAGTTCTGTCATCTATAGAAGGGAACTATGTGACATGCAGGGTCCCCAGATGAACACTTACTGAGATGATGCAGGTGTCAGAACAGCTTCTGGTGACACGCAGGGGCTGAGTCGTGATGGAGTTCGGCTTGTTAACAGGCTTGCAGTTGAAAAGAATCTGACATCAGCCAGTTAATCTTGACAAGGGTGATTCTTTCTCTCCTCAGCATCCTGCAAGAGAAATGCTTCATGACAATGCCTGGAGGGTGGGAACTGCCGTGACATGGCAGGTAGATGCCTGTATAAAGGAATAGAATGAACATATAATCTAGTAATGGCAACTGATAGAGCTGTAAGGGATTTGGATTTTCTTGATTTTTTAAATTTTTTTTTTTTAATTTTTTCAATAATTCCTTCCTGCTAGGAACAAGATCATGGTGTTGGCAGGACAGGAACAGTGAACAGTGTCGGAAGTAATCAGTCCATTCCTAGTATGTCTATCAGTGCCAGTAGCCAAAGCAGTAGTGTTAACAGTCTTCCAGATGCCTCGGATGATAAGAGCGAGCTGGATATGATGGAAGGGGACCACACGGTGATGTCAAATAGTTCTGTCATTCACTTAAAGCCGGTAAGCATTGGGATTTTGGCTGGATAACTTTGAGAACGTGAAAGGAGAGTGGGTTTGGTTGGTTCAGTGGTCAGTAAAAGTAATTGAGTACTTCCTATGTTAAGTCATTATTTGCAGCTCCTGATATTGTGTCACAAATGCATTGAATTGCATTGGAAACTTTGGAAAGTTGCTATAAAAATCATTTATTTCTTTTGGTTCTGTAACAATTATTTTACTAATCAAATTGTTTTCAAAATTGTTTCCTTCATCATGAGGACTTGCAATGGCAGTTGTGAATAGGATTATTTAGTGAATGCCCTTATCTGCAGAGTATTGCTTCTGGAGACAAAAAGATGCAATGGTTTCCCCTTCTAGTTACTGAATTCTTAAATCCAAGACCACAGTGGTGCTTGAAATCTGTTCCTGAAGCACCCAGCTTCCCAGCACATGATCTGGGTATTTGATTAACGAGCAAAGATGCTCAAAAAAAAGCAGTGCAGCTCTATGGCCATGGCAAGCTTTGAAGTCACTTTGACTGCCTTACCTCTGTGTGAAGAAGGATGAGGTGCAGTGTGTCACTGGGATCCATGCTGCTCTCCCTGCAGATGGGTTATTGTGCATTTTCTCAGCCCAGTAACGTTTCCCTACTTAATGATAGGTGTGGTTGGAATGTTTTGTTCTTTACCCAGATATGCAACAAAGACACAGGTATTTCCTTGGGGAGTTAATTAGTATATCATATCTAACTCCTAATCGCACCGTGATGAATGACAAAGTAAGAATGTGGAATACACCATGACAAATTTTAGAATTTGCTTTGAGGTATTTCTGTAGTGGGTGTAATGAAAATCATCCTCTGTCTTTCAGGGTTACAGAGATGTTGTTTTTGTCTCTCCGACTTGATATAATCTACTTGATAGCTTTTATGTTTTCTTGAAGTAAACTATTTTACTCAGTTTTCTGTTTTCCATTTATTTTTCTCATTTACAGCACTAATTAGTAATTTTCCTCCCAGTAATAAAATTGCACAACAACATCTCCAAATTAAAGACCCTAGATCACAGCTCCCATTGCAGTGCATTCCTCTGTCCAGCCTAATGAGTGTAAAATGGATCTGCTTTCTTTTCCTTTAAATGCCTTTTGAACCAGACCGAAATAAAAATCTGTAGTAATTGGAATTCTTATTCTGTTGTGTTAATATTTGCTGATAAGGAGGAAGAAAACTACAGAGAGGAATCGGATCCTCGGACGAGGGCATCAGAACCCCAGTCTCCTCCCCAAGTATCCCGCCACAAGTCTCATTATCGCAATCGAGAGCACTTTGCTACCATACGCACAGCATCGCTGGTACGTCACGCTCTGCATCTGGGTGAGGTTGTGCAGGAAGGGATGCCTTCAAACTCTGTGAAACTGCTGAGAGCTTTCAGGATTTCAGCAGAATATGAGCTGTGTTCATTGACTGTGGTGTTATCGCTAAAATAGTCGAATGCGGGTTGATAAAAGCTTAAATGCAGCACCAGGGCAGATGTGGTTTGTGTGTAGTGGATATTTACAAAGCTGGTAGGCTTAGCAGAATGCAGGAAGTGGTTTATAATAGTAAACTGGCTTTAGTTTCTTATGTATATTGTGTACATTTGTGTGTGTTTCTATATACATATGCACACACTCATAGTGGGCTAAGGAGACATTGTCTAATACTAGCTTTATAACATCTGTGTACTTTTTCTACTGGAGCCCATATGAGCTTATCTTCTGCTGCAGAATTCAGTTTTTAGTCTGCTCTGCTGCCACTGGGACCTGTGGTCTCCTTTACAAAAAAAAAAAACCAAAAAACAAAAAACAACCCACATCACTGAATAGTTTTCTTTTGTGGTCAGAAGACTGCTGAAAATCAGATGAAGAAGCATTAAGTTCCTTTGTCCCAATGTGGTTATCTTCCTAGGTGACAAGGCAAATGCAGGAGCATGAACAAGACTCTGAACTCCGAGAGCAGATGTCTGGCTATAAACGTATGAGAAGGCAACACCAGAAGCAGCTGATGGCATTAGAGAATAAACTGAAGGCAGAGATGGATGAGCATCGCCTCAGGTTGGACAAAGATCTTGAAACTCAGCGTAACAATTTTGCTGCAGAAATGGAAAAGCTAATTAAAAAGCACCAAGCAGCCATGGAAAAAGAGGTAGGAGATAACAGTTTAGCAGACTAGTCCTTATTTGTTAATTACTTTGAATTGTCCACTTCACCTCATTGATGAACAGATGATATTGTAGTCTCTTACATGTCTGTTTTCAGGAGCCAAGCAAATTGCTAATTAGAGAAAGGCTAATACATCACTTCCTTACACTAAGGGGTTTATGTAACTAGAGGAAAGGTATGTCCTTCATCACAGTGTGTTGTACTAAATGCTAGTATACTGACCCCAGGAAAAAATGCTGTGAGGGTTTTCCTTTCTTTTGCCTTGAATGTGCTGTCAGTTACTGACTGCCATCAAGTGTTATGGAGGCAAATGAGCCTGCAGAGAGATGTGCCAGCCATGCTTAAAGGCTCACTGTCTGGTTGCTTATGGATATGGAGACTTTTATGCTTTTAAATAATTGACAATGAAGTGGAGACGCCTATGAAGGTTTTTATTGATTTATTTGTTCATCTTAGATCTCTTGGTGGAGGGCTAAGGACTTGGTTGGTCATAAGGTGTTGACTATGTTAGGTAAGAATAGCTGAACGGGATTGAGAGAGTGAAGCACTGAAAAAGGACTCCTGCTGATGCTTTAAGGGGGGTGGAATGAGAAGAGTTTGAGGGCAGGCTCCTGAGATCCATGCTTTTTTCAGAGTCATGGTGAGTATTGTGGTCTCTGTATCATGAGTTCCAGGTCTCGGGGTTAAAATGGAACATGAGCTATAATTGATCAGGCCTCGGAAACTGATCTGCTTCTGGATTTGCTGTAGGCTAAAGTGATGGCCAACGAAGAAAAGAAGTTTCAGCAGCATATTCAGGCCCAACAGAAAAAAGAACTGAACAGTTTCCTGGAGTCTCAGAAGAGAGAATACAAACTCCGTAAGGAGCAGCTGAAAGAGGTAACTCATCTGTAATGAGAAATGTGAACCAGCAGTGAGGCGTACAATACACTGCAAGAGTGGTGAACGTTCAGAAATGACAAAAAAACAGCAGAGCAGTAAAGGTGACCTATAGATTAATTAGTAATTTTAATGGAGAAAGCAGGCTAATAGTTCAGTAATCACTGTATTGGAAACCACGACCTTTGTGAAATGCGGAGAAATGGCAGAATCGAACTTCCTGGTTCTTTTTATGGTGTGGATGAAAGTGTAGGCACTCTAAATAATTTTTTTGAAAGAACTATTTAGCACTCAACCATCAGTTGTGTGATGCAGCTTTGGAACTTTTTCCAAAGGGGAATATTCCCAAACACAGACATTTTCTGGGAGAAAATGGCCAAAGAAGCGCAGAGCCAGGGAAGATCTAACAGAAGATGTAGTAGCTTGAGCTTGTAACAGTGTCTTACATAGATAGATAGGCAGTAGGTCACAATTCAGCAAGACCTGCTGATATACAGGAATTATGTCTCTTACTTAAGCTGAAGTGTATTGCAGCAAACCTGGTCACTGCATGAGCATCTCTAGTGTGCAGTTTGAGCAAGAGATTCTGTTATGAAAATAATGCCTTAAGCCATATGCTGAATTTAAAATGGCCAATGCAAAAAAAAAAAAAAAAAAGCTCTGAATTGTCACCAGGTATTTCCTTAGATATGTGATATGATGCATTTTACAGAAGCTCAGATTGTTCCTAATACAAGAAAACCATGTGGAATGGCTTTGTCTGAAGCGTTGTCTGTTAGACACCCAGTTGTTCAAGGCCAGGGGGCTCAGTGCAACTATTCCACCATTAATTACCTGACTCTTACCAGGAGCTGAATGAAAACCAGAGCACTCCAAAGAAGGAGAAGCAGGAGTGGCTCTCCAAGCAGAAGGAGAACATCCAGCATTTCCAGGCAGAGGAAGAGGCCAACTTGCTGAGGCGCCAGCGGCAGTACCTGGAGCTGGAGTGCCGCCGCTTCAAGAGGAGGATGCTGCTGGGCCGCCACAACCTGGAGCAGGACCTGGTTCGAGAGGTGAGAGAGCAGGCAGAGATGGGACCTGGAACCATCTGTGTGTAGAGCATCACACAGAGTTCCTGCTATCCAACTTCAGTCTCACTAGGAGTTAATTACCAAATAGGAATTCTTTAAGTAAAATAATGGCTGGGGTGTTTTTGCAGTAATTTAGAGTAAAATGTTCAAACGAGTGTCTTATTTCATGAGAACTGTCAGATCCAAAAGGTCAGCAGATGCAATACTTAGTTCTTTCCAAAAAATGCTTACTGTGAATCCACCTAGAAAAGTGAAACGAGGAAGGAAAATGACTGGTGGCAGGGAGTCCTCCACCTGAAAAGTTACAGGGGCTCTGTCCTCAGGTGGCTGAGGAAGGGAGAGATGCCCCCGTGAGCAAAAGAATGTCACGTTATAAATGTGAGTCCAAGAAAATAGAGTCTGCTAACCCCCTCTGTCGCCCTTTAGGAGTTAAACAAAAGGCAGACCCAGAAGGACCTGGAGCACGCCATGCTGCTGCGTCAGCACGAGTCCATGCAGGAGCTGGAGTTCCGCCATCTCAGCACCATCCAGAAGATGCGCTGTGAGCTGATCCGGCTCCAGCACCAGACCGAGCTGACCAACCAGCTGGAGTACAACAAGCGCCGGGAGCGGGAGCTGAGGCGTAAGCACGTCATGGAGGTGCGGCAGCAGCCCAAGAGCCTGAAGGTACTGCGTGGTGTGGGAGCGAGCAGCACCAAGGGGCTGCTGCTGCTGCTGCTGGTGGCACATCGCAGCTCTGTTCTCGTTTGCAGTGTGTGCAGGTCCAAGGGGCTGTGAGCCTCGTTAGTTTGAAGAGGTTCTGTGTGAATACGTTTGTACTGCGGCTGGAATGCTAGGTGTGAAGGATACAGGCAGCTGTAGTGTCCTCAGGGAGCTCCTTGTGCTGACCTTTGCCATGATGTGCTCTCGTGGGTTTCTGGCCCAGCTTTTCAAGCTGAAGTGGTTGGCCAGAATTTCAGGGCCTCTGTAATTGAGGTTCTTACTGTTTTTGTTGTCAGCTTCATCCAGAGAAGCACAGTGGTTTTTTCTGAAGTGTCTAAGAATGGAGTATAAAGTTTTCACATAACTGCTGGTACATTTCCTTTGAGGAGGAGGCAGTCTTCTCTCCACCCAGTTCTCAGCTGTGCCAGTAACAAAATGAGCGTATGGCATACTGAGCATGGGAATTCTTTTTTGTTCTAGATCTTCCTGCTTCATATTTCACATCTGAATGTGAACCAACCTGCAGTTGGTGTAAACTATCTTCTTGCAAAGAAAATAAAAAAAAAGAAACACTTGAGAACAGAACTTCAGCAAGAAAAGAATGTGATTTGCCAGTATTAGAATAATATTAAATGGTGAAAACCTGGCTTGTGAGTACAAGGGACCATCTGATCACTGTTGAGAATCTCCAAGGATATAGTATATAAATAGCAGATGACTTCACAGCGAAGCTGTGCTGCACTCTGAGCTGAATAAAACCGAACCAGCTGCATTAGGTTGATCCTTCTGAGATTAGCATGAATGAGTTCTGCCTCCCCAAGGTGATGTGGTGCAAACACGAGTGGGCAGCATGTCCGTGTTTGCTCCCTGCTGGCAGCAGGGCCAACAGAACCACAGCTCTCTCCAGGCTGCAGAGCTGCCCTCTGGCCTCTGCAGAGCATCCAACCCTGTCCTTTTTCCAGCTAGGACAGGGCTGCGGCGTTTTGGCAGGAAGCATGGAAAGCTTGTGCTGTGCCATGCATGGCTGTTCTGCGATTAGCAGAGGATTTCAGGCTTGAGCTGTCAATCCAGCACCTTGTGTAGAGTTGCACAGAATTTGCCCTTCAGTAAAAACTGCTCTGTTATTATTTTGAGCGTTTTAATTGTGATGAAAACCCCCTCTTGCTGGTGTTTCACAACACTGGGTCAAAATGATCTTGTCAGAAGGCTGCCTGGAAATCTTACCCCTCCCTTCTGTTTCCTGTTGTTGAAGCCTTTGGGTTGGAAGGCTGTAAACAGCCTGGTGGTGTCCAAGTGAAACTTCATGGAATGTGAGGACAAAACAGTTTGCTGATGTTTGCTGTGGTCCTCGGTGGGAATGTGTAAGCACCTGTAGACACTTCCTTGAGAAGAAGGGAGAGAGCACCTTAAAGGCCTTTAGGAGGGGAATAACTTACTGTGAATTTAGAAAGGATATAAGAGATAATTTCCTCTCCATTATATATGTTTTGTTTGAATGAAGCCTGTCTCTGTCTTGTTTTCTGCATCCATTTGACAAGATGGGTTTGTTGGTTTATACAACAAAACTGATGTCTGAATTGGGCTGGTTGTGTTTGGTCCCAATGGATCTTTCTGTGTAGCTGCAGGTGCTGTGTTTATCACCTGCCCTGCTGAGCCCTGAGTGAGTTCCAGGAGCAGCCAGTGCAGGGGCTGACAGGAGACATACACATGTACCTGCAGTGCTGCTTCAGATCCCAGAGCTCCTCCAGTTTATTCAGGGACAGAAATTGCTCCTGTGCTCTGTTTCTGCTCCAAGTGCAGTAGGATTTGACCATGGTGTGAATGGACTAGACTGCGTACTGACTGTGCTGATGTGGTTGGTTTGATTTGTTTGTTTTTGTGCTTTGTTTTGTTTGTCTTACCATGGGGAATGTGACTATCAGTCGGTTCACCACCACCATTCATCACTCCTGAATTTGTTTTGGTTTAGTTAGAAGTATCCCTGCCAGTCCTCCTGGAGGGAACTCCTTCCTTTTCAGGGCCTCAATGCATTTGGCAGATGCTATCCCTTTCAGGCTGCTCTGGAGGCAGGTAGGGTAGGTGAAAGAAAGACAGAAAGAATGTATCCAAGGTCACAAAGCTAAGTCAGGTTCAGATACTTTGTCCTAGATTGATGTCTCTCAGCCCCATGTGCAATAACAAAGTTATATCTCTGCACAGTACTGAGATGCAGCAAGCACTGAAGGAAAACTCAGCCTCTGTTGGGACTGGGGAATTGTGTTGTTTGCTAGGCTAGCACAACATCAGTGCTGATGGTGGTGTATATCTTCAGGTGTTTAATCTTTCCCAGCCATTTTTGAGTATCTTCATGAAAACCAGATTCTTAATATGGAGAGTTAGAACACATCCAATCTTCATCAAACTCCCAGTGGAAAAAGCATTTCTCTTTTTCCCTATCCCTTCCCATGCACCAGATCTGCTTCTTTGCATGACATTAAGTGCCATTCATATATACGTGCCATATAAGCACAGTCACATGTATGGCTTTTGGTGCTAATTAATATTAGTCCTGTCCCTCAAGAATTTTTCTTGAAAAGCAACAGCCAGGACTGGATCCAATCCAGTGACAAATGTGAGGCTCTTTGTGCGGAGACAGCTGTATTTAGGCTGGAGCTTTGTTATAAAAGTGTCTCTATTGTAATTGTTTTGCACAGTGGCAGTGTCAAAGCAGCTGCAGCAGTAGTCATTGCCTCTTGTATATTTTGCTTCCCTCCTTGCACTGTAGATGTTATTATACATTTGTGGATTCTTGAACTCATATCCTTAATGTAATCCTAAATATCCATTTGAATGGATATTTCTCCCATTTGAAACATGCTGTTTTTTTCTTTGTTTGTGTCCCCTCCATCTTTCCAGTCAAAAGAACTACAGATAAAGAAGCAGTTTCAGGATACATGCAAGATCCAAACCAGACAGTACAAAGCACTGAGAAACCATCTGCTGGAGACCACGCCAAAGAGTGAACATAAAGCTGTCCTCAAACGGCTCAAGGAGGAGCAGACCCGGAAGCTGGCTATCCTGGCTGAGCAGTACGATCACAGCATTAATGAAATGCTCTCTACACAAGCTGTGAGTCGCCTCCGAGGGACCCAGGGTTCCTCAGCCAAATAGGGATGTTTGCATTTTAAGCAGTCTGTATCCTGACAGCAGGCTATCTGCTTCCTTGCTACACACGCCGTACCCAGCACAGTCATTCCTCTGTATTTAAAATCTGCATTCAAATACAGAGGAAAGAGGTATTATTCCCATCAGGCAGGTTGAAGCTGAAGCTTTTATTGAAGGGATGCAAAGTGATGCATCTGTGTGGCTGAAAGACTGCTTTTGCATGAAGTCTGACAGCATGAACGTCCCTGTTAGAGCATCATTAAATAATATGCAACTTGCTATTTTAAGTCATTTAGGTTTTGATTTATCAGTGATACCAACCAAAGCATGTCCCACTGGTGGAAAATGCTCAGTGAGTCATGGAGGAGTTCAGAGGTTTGACTGTAAATCTGCAGTTATGTTAAAAGTGCTCTGAAAGTTCTGTTAGCCCTTCTTCAAGGAATGACCATGTGAGCAATGCTTTGAGTCCTTGGTACAACTGAACGTGCAGTTTTCTTTGCACTTCATGCATATCGTGTCCTGCTTATCACTCTGCACAGATTTGACACTGACACAGCAGGGTAGCTGGCCTAATTTATGTGAGGGAAGTTAAAAGTTCAGTGTTAAAACCGCTTTTAGATTTATGTCATTTTTTTGCCCTACGTCCTGCATTGGCAGGAATGCAAACTTAAGTCTCCTGCACACAGGAAATTTGTTAATCCAGCTGAACAGAGCAAGAGACCTTTTCTTTGCCTTTAGGAAAAAAGGAGAGCTGTGAACATTAGCACCTACAGCAGTCTGTTCTCTGCAGTACGGATCGTGGTTCCTGAGGCACCACTGCTCATCAGCGTCACTTGCATCAGCACTGTGGGCTCACTGTCACCAGTCTTTGTCACTATAGGTTCTCTGTTTGGTGAAACCAAGTACAATAGAGACCAATTGTATTGCCAAGAAAACAAAAGTCCCATCCCATTCTCTCCCTTTCCCTGCAGTCCTCCCCCAGAGTGTCGTGAGTGGTTACCCCATAGTGAAACGTCTCTATTGTCTGCCTTTCCCAGCTGCGTTTGGATGAAGCACAGGAAGCAGAGTGCCAGGTTTTGAAGATGCAGCTGCAGCAAGAATTGGAGCTGCTGAATGCATATCAGAGTAAAATCAAGATGCAGGCAGAAGCCCAGCATGACCGGGAGCTGCGTGATCTTGAACAGAGGGTATCCCTCCGTCGGGCCCTCCTTGAGCAGAAGGTAAAATGGGCATGTGAGCACCCTTAGCACACTCCATCTTCCAGCGCTGTACCTATCAAAAACTGAAATTGCTTTTGCCTTGCTGTGTAGATAAATGCACAGATCATTTGGATATTTGCCTCTCTGGGATAATGGCTCAGTGACACAGACTAAACTTTCTGCCAGCTTAGCCATCCTCTGTGAGCAGATTCTGGCTTTTTGGCTGGGGCAGGGCTTCTCGAAGCATGCCAGAGCCAGAGGGAGCTATGCCTCCCTGGGCAGAAGGGAAAGCAAATGGTTGTTTCTCTGAGCTGCAAGTCTACATCCTCAGTTCACAGAAGACAGACATAATGACCTAAAGTGAAGGTGTTGCTTTTTTCAAAGTTTGCGTGGTATTAGTAGTAGGTATCTGGGGGGAAAAAAAAAATGGATGGACTTGTGATTTGAGACCCTATGTTTTCTGGTAATGTGATTTTTTTTTTTATTTTATTTTTTTACTGCAGCTCTGCTCTTTGTCAGTGTGGAGACCAAGCTGCAGTTTACCCATGAAATGCCACATGTTACAGAAAGGCTGCTGTCAGCAGCACTGCCCTTAGCAAATGGCCGTAGTGTAGACTCAAAAGCATGGGCAACCTGCTGCTCCCTAGATTTCAACTTGAGTTGGCTATTGCATGTGTTGAGGTGCTTCTTCTTGAAGCATGCTTTTCTATGTGGTTCCAGATGCATGGGGTTTGTAGAAGTGCATGCACAAACCAGAGGAAGGGTAATGCAGCAGTCAGTGAAAGGAAACATGCAGTCAGCCTTCCTGCTGTGAGTTTTTCCCCTTTTGATTTGCTCTGAGGGTGCCAGCCATCACCATTCACACAGCAGTTCTTAGCTTCAGTGCTGATTGGCGATTATTAAATTATGGCAATTACTCTGTGGCCTCGAGGTTCTTTGCACTTAAGTCCTCCCAGAGGCCAACAGAAGAAGCTTGGCTGATAGAAGGCCCTGTTGGAATAAAGCTGCTCCACCTCATGGTCAGTAGAGGAACATCTCCAAGAAGGCAGAGCTGTGCTTTGGTCTCCTGCAAGTAGCTGAATCTCTGGAAGAAACTGAATTTGTGCAAACGGGGTTCCTATGTGGCACCCACATGTGGGGTAATCGTTTTTATATCCCATCTCTAGTTCTGCTCCTGTCCCAGCCCTGCTTCAAAGTGTGTATTGGGCTGGGTGTGCATTGCCCTCTGGTGGTATGAACTGAAGGGAGCTCTGGAGGAAGTGTGCCACAGCAAGCCAAGCTCCTCATGTGCAGGATCAGCACTGCTCGTGGTGTTGTACTGAAAGCTGAGCCCAAGAAACTTGCATCAATCTGTGACACTGTTCTCTAAGTCTCTCAGTGCAGATGAAGATCAAAGTCTGTGCATAGAAGGCCCAGGCAAACTGACTGGCATCAGTAATAGTGATAGGAAGTTTAGCAATGCTACAGTGTAGAGGAGAAAAGGAAGCAATAGCAACAAGGTCTAGCATATTTTTTTCTTTTTTGTGCACCTTAGAATATTGAAAAACTGCATTGTCCTTCAGCTTCCGTAGGTGGGAAGCCTTTATTTAGCCATGTGCACAATGCTGATGTGTTGATGTGGATACAGTTGTGGACCAACGGTGAGACAGTTGCTGGAATTGCAGCAACTTAGTGGCGGACACCTGGGTGCAAATGTGGATGCATCTTCCTTTTGAAAGGATATCCTTTACAGGGAAAAGTATTCTGACTTTGTAAGACTTTGGAGTTGCTAGTGCTCTGGTGCAGGTTGCTCAGTGATGTCACCTGGTATTTGTGTGCCTGTGCTAACTGAAGCTGTCTGGCAACCAGAGCAAGGGCACGTATGTGCACAGGATGAATGTCTGACTTTATGTGCACAAACACATACACACCCTGTGGCAAAGTCAGTCCTCAATGTTCAACAATAAACAGATTCCAGAAGTGATCTTGTGCATAGGATTCTGCTTCCCTCTCAGCACAGCGCTCTTTATTTTTGGTGGTGCCCATCACCATAGTAACTCAGTGGAGCATGCATGTCTGACTTGGGCTCAGGACGGAGTAACCAGCCCCTTCCATGCACAATTTTTAAGTGCCAGTGACCGAGGCTCTGTACAAGTTACACCCTGGTCTGTGCTGTTTGTATTGCAGCAGTACTGAGCTTGTCCCAAGAGGGTCTTTAAAAGACTTTAGATTTACTCATTTCCTTCACATGTGCCTCCAACACCTCATCTTCAGAGTCCTGTGTCCTGAGGTCGTTTCTAAGTGATGTCATTTTCACGCAGGGTGTCAGGCATGCCTGTCTGTGCAGCTTGGTTGCACAAAGTCCCATTTGTTTCGCTGGCACAAAGACTGAGAGCTGTGTGCAGCCAGACATGCTGGAGAGCTGCAATTCTGAAAGCGAAGGGAATTCCACTTAGATAAATTGCAGCGTTTTAAAGAGCTAACATTAGAGCAGGCAGCTTCTTCCTCTTCTGCCATTTGCAGGCCTGCTGAGTGCTGCATGGCTTTCAGCAAGAGTAAGCCAGGCTGCTCTGCAGAGACTCAGTGCCACTCACCTAGCGGCAAGAAACAGGCGAGTGGGTAAGGCTGCTTCTGAGAGCCTGAAATGGCTCAGGAGATGACTCACACGGGAGCAGATTGTTTCCTAAACTCCAGATGAAATCACTTTGCATATTCCCTGACTAAGGCAAGAGGGTGCTTACCAGTACAACACTCTGCACAGTGCCTTCAGCACAGACCGAGATGTCGCCTCTTAGCTGCGTCACCGCTGACAGCAGATGCTAGGAAGCTATGCTGAAAGTCTTGGCTACTGCTTTTTACCCTTCTGGACTTCTTCACTGAGGCCAAATGTTGCTTTTTCAGTGCGGGCAAGGAGATAACAAAACGATTCTTTGCTTTTCCACCTGACTGCAAAGATTTCAATGAGAAAGGCTTCTGGCCCTGTCTGAGGGATGTTGGGGGGCCATGGCTCTGTGTTATCAGCACTCAGAGAACTGATCGCAGTGCCCCTACCAAAGTACTGTTGGAAATTGATTTGGAACAGTGTTGCAGGGACAAAATTGGAGTTGCCAGCGTGCATATCATCTAGCTGATAATCTGCCATGCGCCGCAAACATCGCTGCCTGCTTTCTTCAGCCATGCTCACTGGAGAAGGTAGCAGGGTAACACGACCAATTTAGGAAATGGATAGATAACAGGTGGTAAATGAGAGCTAGGAAAATCTGACCAATGAACATTTGAGAGGAAACTGAATGTGGGCTAATATGTTGGCTCCTGGAGAAAAGAGCAAATGTCATCACCAGATTCAGCTACAAGCGGTGCAGGTCACGCTAAGCAGTGCTGGCAGGTGTTTGTGTCTGTAGATACTGTGCTTGGCTGTATTTAAAGGTGTTTTCCCAGTAGGCTTCTATGGAAGCTGTAGTCTTACAAGATTTGCCTATGTCAAGTTGTTAGTATCACTGCACATTTGGGATTCACATCCTTGAAAAGTTCTGTATTCACGAGGGAACAGGGAGCGAGACACTCCAGCTAGTGCTCACTGTGCTTTGGCATGCACAGCTCCATGGGGCTTATCCTTCTGCATTAGGAACGGTCTGTTGGTGGACAGGTGAGCTGGATCCTATCTCCTGCAGAAATACGTGGAGAAGATTTGCCATGAGCTCGGTGTTCAGGGTCCTTCAGAAACTTGAGGCCGTGCCCGTGAAGGAGCCCTGTTGCTACAGACTCTCTTCTTTTTTTCTTCCCAGATTGAGGAGGAGATGCTGGCGTTGCAGAACGAGCGTACCGAACGGATACGAAGCCTGCTGGAGCGTCAAGCTCGCGAGATCGAAGCCTTTGACTCAGAAAGCATGAGGCTAGGTTTTAGTAATATGGTTCTTTCTAATCTCTCCCCCGAGGCGTTCAGCCACAGCTACCCGGGAGCTTCTGGCTGGTCCCACAATCCTACTGGGGGTGCAGGACCTCACTGGGGTCATCCCATGGGTGGCCCACCGCAAGCTTGGGGCCATCCAATGCAAGGTGGACCCCAGCCATGGGGTCACCCCTCGGGGCCCATGCAGGGGGTACCTCGAGGTAGTGCGATAGGGGTCCGCAACAGCCCCCAGGCTCTGAGGCGGACAGCTTCTGGGGGACGGACGGAACAGGGCATGAGCAGGAGCACAAGTGTTACTTCACAAATATCCAATGGTTCACACATGTCTTATACATAACTTAAACAATAACTGAGGGTGGCAATTCCACTGGAGCTGTCTGCCAACAGAAACTGCCTACAGACACCAGCCCAGCAGCCTCCTCAGTGCGGTGCTGACGTGTGGAAGCTGGGTGCACATGGAATATTGTATTCATTTTGTAAAGCATTACGTTTTGTGTTTACTAACTGGGATGTCATAGTATTTGGCTGCAGGGTTTGGGGGGGGGGGGGTGGTTTTTTGTTGTTGGATTTTTTTTTTTGTTGTTTTTTTTGTTTGTTTGTTTGTTGGTTTTGTTTTTGTTTTACTTTTTGGAGGGGTCTCGGGAGGGCGTCTGAGAAATATATGCAATTAGTCAGAAGAGTTGGCTGGTGGTCATCACGCTGACAGGACAGAAGGGCCTCAGGCTGCCCACGTCACACCATCCGTAGGAAGTCTGAGGGAGAACAGAGACCTCCTCCCATGTCCATAAATTTCCAACTCCCACCCTGCAAAAACCAGGCAAGCTGCCTTTTAAACCAACATCCAGGGGAGGAACAGCTGGATCTTCTGTTCCGTTTTTATTTGTCATTAAAGTGGAAACATTTCTAGGGTATTGCCTCTGCCAGGAGGCGTTTTCAAAGACTTGTAGGTGAGGAAGAAGGGTCAGAAGAGAGGCCAGGAGACATCGGGGCTCAGCAGGGCCCTTCTACCCAAGTGCCGGCTCCGTGTTGTGTCAGAAGTGAAGTTCTCTCAGAAGGCACTGGTCAGCTTCCTGAGAACTCTGTAGGTAAACCTGTTTGGAGGGAACAGGCTAGAAATGTTAGAAGTTGTATTCCTGCTTTAGCACTCCCTGACTGTGCTGCTGGTAGCTCAGGCGAGGTTGGGCAGAGGAGTGTAAGTAATGCACTTGTACAGCTAATACTGTGACATCTCATCTTAGCTAAGCATCAGAATAATTCTTGGAGCCCAGCGTAGTCCTTTTTGCTCCATTCAGAAATGTTAGATTTTCAGCCAATCAGTCTCAAATGCCAGAGGTGTTTTGAAGGATGCCATAGTCACAAAATGCCATTGATCGGGTTTTTCATTGTTACACTACATCCACCAATTTATTACCTTTTTGGCTTGTTGCAATTTCCTGTTTACATGTAGAGTGTAGCCAACTGTTGAAATGTTTAGTTGCCACAGTGTACCAGGAGGAGCTGAGCCAATGACTCTTCCCAGCTGATGACTAACCCACATCACCACTGTAGATCTTGCTGCATGTGAGGCTCCTTTTTATTATTTTTGTTGCTGCAATACTTTACAACTCTTACAGTCCCTTGAGATGCTGTGATCGTTTGGCAGCATATCACGCCATGCAAGAAGGCACTACTTCCAGAGGCTCGTTGGAGCTGCTGTACTACTGAAAGGAAGCAAAGGAGGTCGTGGAATCAATACAGTGATAAAAGGTCAGGGAGTCTAATGAAGCGAGGGACTTTGTGGCACAGTGTCATCCCTTAGTGCTGGGAACTGGAGATGCTGCCGTGCTCTTGTGTCAGTGCCCGAGCAGGCTGGGGCAGCCAGCACTGTGGGGTTAGGAGGAGTGCAGGTTTGGCTCGAGGCAAAGCTTTCTGTCTTGGGGACTGACTAGCCAGGGTTCTTTGTAAATGTTTTTCCTTGCACACTAATCATCTTGAAGAAAACACTAGCTGCTAACTCTAGGATTTGCCTTTAATATGTTTATAGGGCTCAAAAGCAAGGTTTTCCGAATGTGTTTGTCCACGTGACATATTTATATAGTAAATACTCCATGTCTCACTGCTGTTCAGTACTCAGCAGGGCGGCGTTCCTTCGTTAGCTAAATTAACGTCTGCTCCCAACCCTGAACACTCCGCCTGCGTCCAGTGAATCCCACTGGGGCTTTTAGCATCTTGACGTAGCATATCACTCAGATGGAACACCCAAACTGCCACAAGATGTTTGGGCAGCCCCGTAGTGAGGAGCCTTGTAGTCCAAACAGTTCACAGGAGTGGTCCCAAGGCAGTGGCCGTTGCCCCCTGTGGGCATTGGTGACTATGAATTGTCCTCTCCCTTCCTCTGCTGTTTACTGTGGAGTTGGATGTTTTGGGGTCACTCTTTTGCATTGCAATATTGATTAAGAAAAAATAGAATGCAGCAAAACGAGTTTAGGTTTAGAAAGAAGGGAGAAGAGGGAAAAAAACAAAACCAACCAAAAAGAATGGAGAGGCCAACTCCCCCCCCCAAAAAAAAAACTATATTGGCGTTTACCATGTGAGTGTGGAGTGTGTGTCCAGAGCATGGTGCTAACACGAGGGCGTGAAGCTCAGCTCCTCTATCGCCAGCAGCAGCAGTGGGACAGGCTGTGCCCGCAGGTTCGTTCTTTTGCTTCTGTTATGGTTTGAATTTGGTCGAGTCTCTGGCTTAAATTGAGCTACTTCCACAGAATTCTCTCAACCCATCTCTTTGTGTAATGTCGAGCATGACTGAATGCTGAATCCAAATGATGGCTATCCCGTATTGGCTTTTTTTTGTATTCAAAAAGAATTGTGTAGTAACCATTTTTACATGTATATCATGTGCAGACCTGGACTATTCCAACAAGTTAATATTTTAATTAAAATAGTTTGCAAAAACTGATTCAGATCAACTGGTCTAAATGTGTGTGTCCCTGTGTGTGCCTGGGGGAAGGAGGCTGCCCTAAGAAGCCTGAGCTTGAAGGGAAAACAGTGTTGTGCAGCATGGCCAGAGGGACTCAGGTTGTGCACTGGAGGTGTGTGAGATGCATGAACAGCTCAGAAATCCGCTAAAGAGACGCAAACAATTTCTGAATCAGTTTGCAAACTCTGTTTTTAAACTTAAGAACAGTGATTCCAGATGGCACTTGTTGCAGCCGTGCCCTAACCTTGGCTTATGGAATACTGTATGTTGTAGGAACTGCTCCAGTACCTCAGCAAAGATGTTCTGTTACGTCTTTTACTCTTGTGTTTAACACTGGGGAAACTCTGCTGCGTGGACTGCTTTGCAGATGTTCTTGCAGTATTCTCCAAGCAGCAGCTTGGTACCTGAAATCTGTTATTTGGTGGTTGTTTTCTTTTCCCCTTTGCAAAGACCTGAAGTTCTGATGTAGTTTAGCTCAGAGATGGAAAACAAAACAAAAATGCAAGCAGAGGAGCCAGCGATTTCACCTCTTCATCCAATCTGAAATTGTTTGGTTTTCTTTAATTAAAATCAGTGCAAGGCTCCCAGGGAGGCAGCAGCCACCTCTCCCATCCATATCGTGTGCTCCGTGCTTCTTCCTGGGGTGCAGTGCTGAAGTGGCACAGCTCCATTTTGCCTGCACCCCATCCTCCCAGCCCGTGGGCTTCAGAGGGGTTGAAGAGATCCGTGTGGTATGATAGCAGGCTTCCCACAGACGCTCCCTGCAGCCATCCCTTGTCTGGCTCGGGGACAGGCTGGCACTGCTCTGCTCCCCATGCAGCCCTCGTGCTTTAGAAGAGCGTGCACTGCCCGTGAGCTGTAGCCTGCACAGTGTGCACCACCATAGGCCCTGGAACGATGCTGTTATGGTCCCCAGGGGCAGGGCTGGTTGCACTGCCAGCTGCCCTGCCCCGCTCACCCTCTTCATGTGCCATTTCTTGAGAGGCAATAAATTGTATTGTACCACTGTCTACCATTACTCCTTTCAATACGCACATCTCTGGATATATATATATATGGTATCTCCTTTGTATATATTTCTATACTCTGTGTGTGTGGGTGTGCAGGCACCCACGTCCCGCTGTGCAGTTCTGCCAGGGCACTTCAGTTCTGCTGTTCTGTAGCACTCTCTGCTCGTGGGCTGTGCGGGGCTCTCTGAGGACGAGGGCACGACGCGTGCTGGGGCTGGGCACAGCCAGAAGCCCTTCCTTAACAGTGCCCTGTTCATCATTGCTTTCGTTTTGCAGGGAGCAGGAGGGCAGGATAGCTGCTAGCAGTGTGCTGGAAAGCTCCCGGAGGGTACTGGCAAGTCGGAAGGCTGCAGAGAAGAAAACAAGGTGATGTAGTGGTAGGGAAGCACGGAGCTGCTGAGGGGCAGTGAGCAGCAGGTGGCCGTGTGGACTCAGCTGGGTCCCATGGGCTCAGCTTGGTCCCAGCAGCATCACCGTGGGCTCCAACCTTTGATGCTCCCAAGTTAAAGCTGCCACTGGCTCCTAGCACTGCGGTTTGTGGCTAGAGCAGGTTTGTGGAGGATGGCAAGAGAAGTGACATTGGATGATTTAACGTATGTGTGCGTGGACATGCGCATACGTATAGATACAGTTTTGGTGCATTCCTTATTCTGCTTTGGCACGTGTGCTTTGTTACTCAAGTCCCGTGAGCAGAGGATGGCCTTGTTCTCCCCTGGGTGCCATGCTGGATGGATGGCCGCCCTCAAGCTGTGAAGCCCTCTTGTCCTGACCTCCTCCTCGGTCCTCTGAGACCCCAACATCTTAGTGAGACATCAGGCAGATGGGGTTAAAAATGGTTCATTTGTGCATCGGGTCGCAGCCGTTCATCCCGCCGTGTGTCCCCCACAGCCCCGAGGCTCGGCCAGCTTAGCAGCATGCCAAACACGGGTCTTCATGTGCTGCTGGAGAGTTCTGAGGCGATTTCCCTCTGTCCCTGTTGGAAGGTCTCTTGCAGGGCTTTAGGAGAGGTCTGGGTCGGGCTGTGCCATCCTTGCCCATGGGCAGCACACGCGGGGCCGCCGTGGCCGCGTCGCTCTGCTGTGGTTGTGTCAGTTTGCACTTTTATGAGGCCGTTGTGCCGGGCTCTGGTGTGAGATGTGCGCGTTGTGGGGAGCTGATGACGGCCGAAAGAAAAAAAAGCCAGTGGAGCCAGTGGTTGTGGCGAATGTCACCCTGCTGCAGCAAGGTGGCCCCAATCCCATTGCACAACGGCTGTGCGACGGGGAGGAAGGCCTTGTCAGCTGGAGAGGGACTTAGCAAAGCAGATTTGCGGCCAACAAGCACCTTAACCACTGAGCTGCGGGGCTCTGACCATTGCACTTCACCTGCAGGCTCCTCGGGGCGGGGGACGGCCCTTTGCTTTGGGACCATCGTGCTGCAGCTCTGCGGTGCCCTCGGAGCGCTGTGTCCCAGCACGGCCCCGTCCCTCCCTGCTTCCTTCCCTCGAGTGCACGCACTGAGCCCGGCCCCGCTCCCCACCCCTGAGTACGGGTACCTCAGAACATGCACAGTTTGAATTTTCACTGACAATTAGTTGAATTGATTGTGAGTGAAAAAAAAAGAAAAAAAAAAAAAAAAGACTTTGTAATTATCTGTAAATATGTAGTTAACAAATTGACCTAGTTTCTGTATTTTTTAAGTTTTTTTGTACTAAAATTTATAGAGAACAGTCTGTGCCAGCTAGCAGAAAGCTACTGTAATTGCCAGTCGTAGTGCAGCATGCATCTAATCCCTGAGATTGTCGAGGTGACGCTGTAAGGAATTGTGCTTCTGTGTTGCTGGGGGCAGCGGGGCTCAGCTGGGGGTCCCTGTGCCCCCTCCCTCTGTGCCATGTGCAGTGTGGGCAGCCCGACGGATGGCAGCGGTGCTCGGGGCTGAGCTCAGCGGGTTCAGTTTCTTTGCTGCGGTTTTAATACCGTCTGATGACTTTTTTTTTTTTTTTTTTTTTCAGCCTTTGTAGAAATGATACGTTTTTCCCCCTTCTCAGTGCTTTTGTCTTAAGCCCCGGAGCTCATCTAAACCTACTGGAGGAAAAAAAAAAAAAAAAGAGAAAAAAAAAAGGAAAAAAAAAAAAAAAAAAAAGGAAAAAAAAAAAAAGAAGAATTTCATTTGAGATCATTGCCTGCTTTTAGCGCCAGGATCACGCATTTCTATGGCAACTCTCAGCTCAGCAGAGTTGGGCAAGCAGCACGGCTGCCGATGAGCTGAAGGACGCGGCTCCGCTGCTTCGCGTGGCTCGGGGAGCCCAGCGGGTCCCACGGCCCGATCCTGGAGCACAGGGTGGGTGCCCCCATCCCCGCCCCGCTGTATTGCAGCAGAGGTGAGCCCGGAGCCCAGAGCCGTGCTGAGAGCATCCCAGGAAGCTGCAGGCAGAGGGCTTTGGGGTGCAGGTGAGGCTGTGCTCGAGGGCCGGGTCCCGGCTGCCCTTGGTCTGTGGGGATGGAGCTTTTGAGGGTCGGGCATCCGCGAAGGAGCGAGCGAACCGCCTGCTTCCTTCCTCCTGTTTCCCTCCCGACCCCTCGCAGCCCTTCTCCTCGCTTGCTTGGAACAGGAGCGTTGTTCCCTGCCTAGAAACAGCCGAAACATAGGGGGTGG